AGTGGCTATAGACTTGTTACGAAGGACTTTCTAATAATTAAAGCTGCCCAAAGTTGAAATGGGCCTCAATTAGTGATGGTGAACTCACTGTCATGAAAGGCAATCAAGCATGTTTTAGTTAACCACTTTGTGAGAAAGTAGTAGAGTCCTCTATTACTCATCTTCAAGGACCAGAGTCATCCTACCTTGAAGTTCTGCAAGATTCTGATCCTTGGGATGGACCAAGGATATAAAGTGACCCAGGGCCCAAGAAGATCCTCCATAGTGCCCATTCCCTCAGGGCCCTGGCATTCCTTGGGTACTTGTCTGAGTGCTTGAATTCTTTCTCTCTTCCCTGCACCCCAGTTCCTTTACAATTGGGATGAGGAAATTACTAAATGGCCAGTGGTGCTCTTATGTGCCCATAGCACACTTCCTGGTGGCGGAAGGGGAGGGGCCAGGAGGAGGGCAGGGCCCCAGGCTTGGGCTAAAAGACAGGAGGGCCCAGAGGGAAAGTCCCGGCAAACACTTGCTCTACCGAGGGTGTGGTGAATGCTGACTCAGGTTGGTGTCTCTGGGGAAAGAGATGAAGGAAAAGAAACCAGGAAGTGGGGCTGAAAAGCTAGAAAAACTTCTTGAGCCAGAACTGGAGTCTCTGTTACAGCAGCCAGCCACCGTATGGTGGTTGGTAACTATGATCTGTTGCCTTAAAATTGCCCAGAGCCCTGATGAAGCTGGGAATCTGGTCAAGAAATGTACTGCCTGGCAGTGGCCTTGTAGGGCTCCTATACAACTCCATGGGGCTCCATCATATTCAGGCTTTTCTTTTCGGTACTGGGGATTGAACCCAGAGCCTTTCCTTTAAGCTACTCCAGGCCTTTTAAATTTTTTAATTAAAAAAATTTTTTGGGAGACAGTCTCACTAAGTTCTTAAGTCGCCCAGGCTGGTCTTGATTTTTTGATCTTCCTGCCTAAACCTCTCAGAGTGCTGGGATTACAGGTGTGCATCACCGGACCTGGCTGTGCACTCAGTTTAGAGCATACACAATGTTAGTGCCAGGAAGCAGAAGCTCTGACGTTCTGTGTCAAATGAGAAACAAGCCATGGAACAAGGTCAGACTGCCAGTATGGGGGCCCGGGCAAGGACGGATGCTCTGGCTGGTAGACAAATACAGACGATAGGGACCTGCCACAGGAGCAGGGACCTACCTCTTGGGGAAGACTCAGCCTCTGTCCCATTCATCATCATGACTGAGTTCCCCAGCACTGGATCATGCTAGACACAGAGGCTACAGCAGTGAATGGGACAGTCATGGTCCCTGCCCTCATGGAGCTTACAGCCTAGAGCAGGGCTGAGCAGTAAAACTTTCTGGATGGCAGGAAAAAACCACACAAGCAAATGTGATCACAGAGAAGGGTGGTGCTGGGTGAGCACCTAATTGGGAGTGGCCCCACAAGGGGGGTCTTCTTGGAGTAAGTGAGTCCAGAACTTGGGCTGCCAGTGAGGAGGAGCAGCCTGGTGCTACCTCTCAGCACCAGGTCCTGCGGTGCTTGCATTCTAGCTCATCACATGGGATGCAGCTCCCCACTTCTTCTCCTGCCATGACCTACCCAAAGGGACTAATTTGGCTGCATTTTCCCTCATATAGCAAGATGCCTGCGCCACAGTGGCTCAATAAGCATTTATGTAAATCAGCCAGTCACTTCACCAGTAGAGATTGGGCCCAGCGCAGCTCACTACAGCAGTGACCAAGACAGACAGTGTTCCTCCTCTCATGGAGCTTACGTTCTAGCTGGGGAGAAAGATGCTGTAGAAGTAAATATAACAGATGATTTCAGGGGATCCTAAGTGACTGAGGACAATTAAACTGTGTATTGAAACAGTTGGTGCTGGTGGGAGCTCTGGGAACGAATGAATGGATGATGAGCCATGGATATTGGAGCAAGACAGGCTGTACCCACTGGACTGGGTGAAGGGCTAGGAGGATTTGGGGATCTCAGATCAGGGCTGGGAGTGCAGGCCAGGTGAGTCAGTCAGGGTGGGCACCTTCTAGTCCTCACTGCCAGGCCCAGAGGCAGTGGGAGGGCGTGGACAGGGAGTGGTGTGGAAGCTCAGACCTCAGTGTAGAGAGGAGAATGTCTGGAACTGCTGACAGAAGCCACGCTGTGCCCATGTCCTCTGTGTACGCAGTCATGACTCAGGCTTGAGCTTGGCTCCTTGTGTACAACACTGGAGGGGGTGGGGTGGGAGGATAGGAAGGACCTAGAGTCACCCCAAGACCTCCCATGGCTCCCACAGCTGACAACCCTGTTGAGAAGTCCTCTGAAAAACCCCAGGCCACTGGGAAGATGGCTTAAGGCTGAGGTACTGTGTGTGGGACCCAGGTAAAAGATTGATAGATACTAGGAGGCAGTGAGTTCTCTGAGGGTCAGTCCTGTGACACAGGGACTGCCACAGGCTACCCAATCCACCTGCCCCCAGGGAGGGAAGGTGAAATCCTCACCAGCGGGTTCCACTGGGCCTGTGAGCTCAGGCACAGTTGGGTGGCTTGGCACTATCAGTTCTGCTGCAGGGTCAAAGTTCTGTGTGAGGGAAGAGGGATGGGGAGGAGGTGGATGAGGGTCTAAAACCCAGAACTAGCCTGGGGTGGGGGCCCTCAGCTTACTAGGAAATGGATAATGACATTTATGGCTCTAATACTAGTCAAGACCTAAATGAATGTCAAAAGAAGAGGTTCCCCAGCAAGGGCAAAGAACAAGGGCAGAAGGAACCAGGAGAAGCTTCTAGAACATTGAGATGTGGACCATGAGACGCATACTGGAAGGCAGAAATGGGGTCAGTGTTGAGGAGGGGGAATGAGTGGTACTAAAGAGATTAGATTAGCTCTATCAAATGTATGGAGGAAAGAAGTGTGGTCGAATGTAGGGAAAGGCAAGACTGAAATTGTCCAGGAAGTCTTCATGGTGAGTAAACTCTGGAATGTTTTCACCACCCTGCCCATCCTCAACACCCCTCTTGCAGAAAATAAAAGGCCTTCCAAAGCCAAAACCAAAACCAAACAAGAACAAAGCAGCAGAGGCAGCCTGAAGCAGGGAAAGAGCCTACACTTGGAGTTATACATACTGGGTTGAATCCAGACTCTTTTACTTGAAAGACTTGCAATCCTGGTCAAGTTACCAACTTTTAAATTTTTTTAGTGGTACTGGGGATTGAACCCAAGGGAAACTAACACTGAGTTACATCCATAGCTCCCCCCACCCTTTGAGATAAAATCTCTCTAAGTTGTCAGATTTGGGCTCAAGCTTGCAATCCTCCTGCTTCAAGCTCCCAGGAATGTGCCACCATTGTCCAGTGACTCAATTTTTCTGAGCCTCAGTTTCTGCAGATGTAAGAGACTACTTACTTCATAGAACAGATGAAAAAATGGAAGTAAGATCTAGGTAGAGGGTTTTGGTCATTGCAGGTGCTCAATAAATATAAATTCTCTCAACTCCTACAATATGGAAAGTGTCCAGCTGCTCCACTGTACTCCCTCTTGCACAGGCCCCTCTGGGGATGCTCAGGACATTAAGGCCACATCTGTTCCAGCTTTGCTTGTTTCTTCTGGAACTATCTCTCCCACAAGGAGGAGTGCACCCAAGGCCTCCTCACTTGATAGGTGCTAACAGAAATTTAAGGACTGCCCCACTTCCTCCTTCTCAGCATTCCTCACAGGATTCCCTTGCATTTCCAAGAGACTAAGGAAGGGTCTTTTCCTCCTTATTCCTCATTATAGAGTTAAGCACAGACATATTCCTCTCCATTTCTGGCATCAAGCACAGGCAGGCAGACCTGTGATCTCTTGACCTAGCTCCAAGCTGAACCTGGACCTGGGCCTTGGTGGAGGAAAACTGTTCATCCCTTAAAGCCAGCCCACTACTGAGTCCTCTGGGTGCCTTGGAGCAGAGGGCAGTGGACAGCAGCACCCATGGCACTGTGAGACTGCAGACCTCTTGGGACAGGACAGCTATGTCCAAATCCCTGCACTAAAAGACCTGACCAAACTCTAGCAGGGCTCTAGCAGCATAAGGCTGTGTCCCTGGGATGGCCCCCAGACCCAAGTGCCTGATTCAGAAAGCTTGATGTTGCTGGGAAATGTTCCGATATGTTCTACCTGCACCAGGCAACAGGCCCCAACCTCCCATTTACTAAAAAAAAGCTTTCAGTTATATGTATCTCTTGCAAGCAGAACCATCTCTCTCAAGGACCTGAAAGCCCTTCTTTAAAATATAATCAACAGCCGGGGATTTAGCTCAGTGGTTCCGCTGCCTGCCTCGAAAGCACAAGGACCGTAGTTCGATCGATCCCCGGTACCAAAAAAAAAAAAACAAAGGTCAACAGAAGGAAAAGGTCTCTGTTTCCTAGCCTCTGTGAGGTGAGAATCCTAATTTAGATAACTACCAGCTAACAAAATACAGCTGCCCTGATCACATTCTGACTCCCCTGAGGCCCTCCAGTTCCACCTACCCATTCTGTCCTTAAAATGCCCAAGTCACCTCTGCACATATCAGAATGGGGCTCGGCTCTGGGCCCTATTGAAAATGAACAAAATTTGTTTTCACTGCTTTAAAACTGATGTTCTGCTGTGTTTGATACCAACTGGCAGAAAATCCAGCCTGTACCGCTCCTTAGCTCCTGATCAGTCCTGGGGTGACTTCTGCCTCCTCTGCAGCTCAGCATTATTGGAAGGTGTGCAAACTCCCAATCACTGACCAAAGGTATTGTGGCAGGATAATAAAAGACAAGACAAGATCTTAATGGGTAAATGGAGGGCCTAGGATGGTCAAAGCTCTTATCTGGCTAAAATGCCATCTCCTGGAGTTTGCCCCTATTTATTGAACACACAGCTTCTCGATGGGGCAAGGGGTAGTTCAGGGAACAATGGGGTGGAGAGCACTGATGCTAGCAGGATCCTGGCAACAAGGGAACAAGACATTCTAGTAGGAACAGATCATTAATGGGAAATATGTTTTTTCCATAGATTAATTCTTGTCTGCACAGAAGTTTTGTGTACGAGTCATGCTGCCCTTAGCTGCACTATTGTCTCGCCATCCAAGACGTCACAGCCAGCATCACGGATCACTGAGACCTCTGCTGTGGCCACTGGTGTATGAAGCTGTTCCTTTCCCACACACCAACTGCTGGCTCTTCAGACACTGTGGGCTAGTAGGTGGACATAGACTTTGAATATGAAAAGTCAATTTGTGAATTTGTAGCTCACTCGGGGTGGTCTCCATCACAGTATGAGGCTCTGGGGATGACCCATGAGTAGAGACACACACAGGTGTGTGTTGGGCATCTGACTGAAAGTATTTCAGGTAGGGAATCAATATGGGCTGAGATGGACCAGGCCCTTGGCTCTCTGGAGATAGGAGGTGGGAGCAAGGTAGGTTTGGTAGAGAAAGGCAGGGATTAGAATGTTGCAACCCTGCAGGAACGTGAGACGTAAAAGAAACAAGGCTGTGTTCAGCTTGGGGAGGAGCCTGGCTGTGGTGACCCGACCCTGGATCTTACCATGGTTCTCTAACTGAAAGCTCTTAGAGCTGGACCTTTGTCACATAGCTCTGCCTGTACACATCTGCCTCTCCCTGCCCAGGGCTGGGCACTGCAGGATGAGAGGTTAGGGAAAAGATTCCAGTGGAGGGGCCAGGTGAGGGACTGAGGGTCATGAGGAGCAGCAGAAGGATGGGAGGCCTGAGAGGACAGAGAGGAGGAGGCAGAGGGGAGGAGGAGCTTTGTGGATGGGATGGACCAACCCAGAGGTGAGGACCAGGGACTCCAAGGTGACAGGGCAGGGGCTGCGGCACAGTGACTTCTGCGGTCACTGTGGGGCTCTATGCCTCTGACATCTTTCTGTTTAGCCCAGGGCAGTTGGTCAGACTCACATCTGTGGGGACACCCTGAGGCAGAGGCACCACTGTCTGCCTCACTTTGACCCTCCTGACTGTTAGGTGGTTGCTCTAGACGGAATCTCACTTTAGGTGTGACAGCCCTGGGGTGAGATAGTCTCCATAGTCTGCTGCTATAGCGGAGACAGCTTGGGCTGGGCTTCTTGGGCTGGTCTCTTCTAGGCCTTCACAGCAGCCCTCCATGACCCTTATTCTCCCCTCCTTAAGCCATCACACACTCTTTTACCTTCCTGCTGGTGGGACAGGGAAATTTCTGCTGATGGCACAGCTGCATAAGGACCTTCAAGAGGTCAGGGCTCTGAGCTCAGGGCTGCTGCATCACTTAGAGAGGTGAGACACAAAGCCAGAACAGGCCTTAGAAACTGGAAAATAATCCCTCAGGTGGAGAGAGAGGCTGGCTTGCACACAGTCAGCTCTGCTCTTTTCATATGCTCCGATGTTTGCTGTACTGGTGTGGGCTGTGCATGGATATCTGAGAGTATGGGAGCACTGGCTGGCTCTGAGTTGGGGACTGGGCCCTAGTGGACAGGGATGGGAGCATTTTAGATTCTGGGCCATGTGAATGTATTGTCTCTGAAAAGTACAAATTAGGCCAGGGATATAGCTCAGTGGCGACGTGCCTGCCTGGCAAGCACAAGGTCGTGAGTTTGATCCCTGGTACTGCAAAAGAAAAAAAAAAGTTCAAATTAAAAATGTCAACCAAGAATCTCATCTCCATGACTTCCTGGGCTCCTTTGGGGGTTTAATCATCTTCCAAGGACCAACCAAGCACCTTGATTTGCTCTGGTGGGGGTGGGCTGCATCTCAGCCAGCCTCCTGTGTCTTCTTAGGGCTAATTCAGGGCAATTCACATTCTCTCTCTGTGGCTGCTGCAGGTCTCATGGTCCCCAATCAGGATAACACCACAGCAGTTCTGCCCAGGCCCAGCTCTGCAGTCTGCAGACACCATCTCCTACAATCTCTCCTCGGCTGACACCACCACTGCCATCAGGTCCCTGGCAATACTGACCCTGGGCCAGCCTCCTGCTGCTCCTGTCATGCCTGCCTCTTCTCCATTGGCCCACACCTCAGCCCAGTGAGCTTCCTCAAATACAAATCTCCAATCAAGCCAGTCTTCTGCTTAGGTCTCTACAGCTGACTGTTGGTGTCTGCCCAAATCCCCTGCAACTTCCTTTTTCCATTTTTGGGCCTGATGCCCACTTCAGTATGCATTCACAGCTGATACACCTGTGGCTCCTGAAAAACTGCCCTTGGCCTCCTGAAGCCATAGTGCTCTGGGTGGCAGTGTAACCAGTTGCTGAGTAGGCAAGGTAGCCCAGAAGGGCTCTTGTAATCAGTTTGGGAAAAAGCATTTCAGGTGACACTACTCCATGAGGAAGGGTAAGAGTGTGTCAATGGCAACAGCTAGTTCTCTGCCCCTCACTTGGATTCAGATAGTACCTTCTTCCCCAGTTCCAGGAAACCATAAACACCAAGGACTCTGCCCTCAGTGGATTGTTTTTGTTTTTGTTTTTGGTTCCAGGGATCGGGACCTTGTGCTTTCGAGGCAGGCAGTGGTGGAACCACTGAGCTAAAATCCCGGCCCTTTTAAAAATTTTTATTTATTTATTTATTTATTTCCCTTGGTGGATTGGATCTCACTCAGAGATCAGGCCCAGCTAGAAAGCAGCAGGCACCCTGGAGAGATGGTGGAATGAGGGATAAAAGCAGAGTGACCCTGGATGCTCCTAGTCAGAGGGACCCTGTTCCCCAGCCAGGACACAGGAAACAGGCTTGTAAGGAAGAGCAGGAACAGGGATGGAGGAAAGGGGCCTTGTCCTATGAACATAGCCTTTGAGAACCCACCCATTTGTATATCTTTGACTCTTTTCCCCAAGTACTGTTCTAAGTATTTACTGTGCTTTGCTAAGCACAGAATCAGCATTCACAACACACTGAAGGGGAAGTGAGAACCTTTATTAGCCTCCAGAGCATTTTTTGATACTGAAACAAAAAGTTAAAGGTAAGGACAGGAAAACCCAGTCACATAGAGGGTTCTCTCAAGGACCCTAGAACTCACCATGGATGCCCAGCAGAAACCAGGGGCATTGGTAGGAGAGTAAGGCCACTTCGCTCCACTGAGATAGGTGCAAATCCAAGAGCCTAAGTGGGAAGAGAGGCATAACTCTGATGTCAGGCCAGAAGGGTCAGGACTTGCTGGTACAGAGGGTGATAATCCACTTAAACGTTTGAAGGAAGCCAGGCGAGTAGGAGGCCAACCAGCCCAGGGGGGAGACATGTTGGGGAGCAGAGCTCACAGATAAGTAGTTGTGGACAGGGCAGCCTGGGGATAACAGAAGGAGCAGGAAGATCAGATCCTCTTTTCCACTCCTCACCCCAACCCTGGCTGAAGATACTGAGGGAAAGGAGTGAGCAGGGGACTGAAGGAATGGCAGGCAAGGCTGCTGGTGAGCCAGAGCTCTTAGCGTCCACATCTTTAAGCCATAATGTTGAGCAAGGTCACATGATGGCAGCACCTTCCCACTCAGGCTCAGGATATCAGGGTCTGCGGTACACACACAGTTGGAGATGGTGGGTATGGGAATGGTGCAGAGTGACAAGGTTTGGGCCCAGTGGGCCAGGGCACCGAGACAGGCCAGGAATCCTGGAAAACTATTTTTCTCTGTTCCCTCTGCCACAACTCCCAGAAGCCAGAAGCCAGCTTGCAAACCTCAAATAGGGAGTCATAACCCTCTGAGCCTCAAAAGCCAGAGAGAACTTCAGAGTATTTTTCAACCATCTCCCGATCCAAAACTGGCCACTGGCTGCCACTATCCTGCAGATCCTCCATACATCTTTCTTGTTACCAGCTGGCCCCCATATCTTCACCTATTGCCAATGCCACCACACATTTGCCACTCATTTCTGGGGTTTCTGCTGCTGAGAAAACTCATTTGAACTGAAAAACAGGTTGAAAAATAAAAGGTTAATTTCCAGGAGCATTGCCTATATTTTCCCCCTCTCCAGCTTCTATTCCAGGAGGAAGAGAGGCCAAAGACCTGCAGGGCCCAGGGTCTCAGAAGTCACCACAGGTACTCCTTCCCACATCCGGGTGGGCCCTATGCTATATCCCAGGACCTGCTGCCTTTCCTAAGTGGAGATCTGATAATGCCAAGTAGTTTCTGGACCTTCTGGCTAGTTGGTGCAGGGGTCAAGTACATGGGCTCCACAGCTAGGTACCCTTTCAATGTATGACATGTGACCTGGAACAAGTCTGTTTGTTCATGTCTGCCTGCCTTCCTTCCTTCCTTTTCTTTTTTTCAGTGCTGAGGACTGAACCAAAAGCCTGCACATGCTAATTATATGCTGTACTACTGAGCTGTGTCCCCAGACCTGGGTTTCAGTTTCAACATCTGTAAAATGAAGATAGTATCTCCCTTACAAGATTAAAATTATGCGTGTACAGTGCTTAGCCCTGTGCATGCTGCTCTAGTAAGCCCTTGAGAAGTGGGAATATTTACTTTTTATATTGAGGGAGAGAAGCTAATTCCTCGGCATTCTTTACTTCCCTTGCTAACCTGATTAAACACAGGATCCTTAAATGGCTCATCCTTTGCCATAAAATCCTTCAGCAGTTCTGCCTGCATCATCCCTGGTCAGAGATACATAGCTGACTCCATGGCGCCACAGCTCGTGGGCACAGTCAGCAGCCAGTCTGTCACACTGTGGAGGGACAGAAGTCAGAATGAGAGCCCGGGCACCTGGGCACATCACCTTCCTTCTTTACCCTCCCTGATACCAGTGGGGATGCCCTTGGCTGCTGCCCTTCCCAGGATCCTTGAGGTCTCTGCTGGCCCCCTTCCTGTGTGATACCTGCTCTGCCAGACTGAGGGGAGCCCAAGAAAGGAACTGTCCATGGATGGGGCAGAGGGAGAGATGAGGGCCAGCCAGCCTTATCATTCTTTTTGGGGGGTATAGGGTTTGAACCTGGGACCTTGTGCTTGTGAGGCAGGCGGCGGCACCACTGAGCTAAATCCCCGGCCTTAGCCTTACCGTTCTGACCACTGGGGACTGCACCTCCGGAGCTACAAGTACTATCACTATCCTGTACCTCCTAACCCCTGTGCCACTGAGACCTTACTGCAGCTTTCCCGACACCATAGGGGACGTTGAACATGTGCTGCAGTTCCCCAGGGGAAGAGATGACCACAATAAGCCTCATACCAGCTGGTACTATCAGCCATGCCCCATACACTGAGCACAGGTAGTGGCATCTAGAAAGTGGGGCAGAAAGGAGAAAGAATGAAACCTGTAAACGCTGGCCTGGTGCTGCAGCCCCTGCTGCTTCTTGTGCCCTCTAGTGGCTGTAGTCAGAGGGGAAAGGCTGTAGAGAGGCAGCTGTGAAACTGGGGAGTTGGACTGGGGCTACATTCTAAGAGGAAAACTGGTAAAATTAACCACTGACAGATGAGAACCCACAATCTTTAGATGTAAAAGAAGAAAAGAGCTCTGCCACAATAACAATGACAAACAAAATGGTTCAGGGGAAAAAACCTTTAAGAAACGTGTAGGGTCTGCATGGAAAAACTCTAAAACTGTAAAATGTGCAGCTAAAATTGTCCAAAGTTAAGAAGAATAGCATGTAAAACATCAGTTCTATATAAACGAATTTATACGTTTAGTCAATTTGAGCTATATCTTAGTAAGACTTTTTGAAGGAATTGACAAAATAATCTAAAGAACAGTAAGAATAAACATGTGAGGGTACCCAGGACAATTCTGACTTGTGGGCAAAAGGGATTTATCCCACTGTCACTCTTAACGTACAATGGCATAATAGTTAAAAGGACGCAGTACTGGTATAACAGTAGTCAGGTAAGTCAATGAAACAAAATAGTCAATAATTAGATCAAAGTGGAAGTCAGAATGTAGCACAGTATGAAGGAAACGCTTCAAATCAATGGAGAAAGCTAGATTATGCAGCAAATGGAGTTGGGACACTTGACCAGTTATTTGGGTTGGGTGGGACTGACCCTCTACCTCATTTATTATTTCAAAATGAATTCCAAAAGGACACAATATTTAAATGTAAAATAGGAAAGCCCAGTTGGGCATGGTGGTACCCATCTGTAGTCCTGCACTCAGGAGGCTGAGGTAGGAGGATCATGAGTCTGAAGCCAGTCTAGGCTACATAGCTAGTTTAATGCCAGCCCAGAGTATATTGGGAGACCCTGTCTGACAAAAACAACCAACCAAACAAACAAACAAAGAAAAACCCACTAAAAGAAAACACGTTGAATGTGTTTATAAACTTAAGGTAGGGAAGGCTTTTATTTATTCTGAGACAAGGTCTCATTATGTAGTTTAGGCTAGCTTTGAACTGATGGTGATCCTTCTGCTTCAGCCACCCAAGTGCTGGCATCACAGGTGTGTGCCACTATGACCATTTGGAAGGCTTTTCTTAACATTGCACCAAGATAGAAAATATGAAGCAAGATGGACAGATTTGACTTCTTGGTTACTTTCACAGGTGACTGGTCACATCTATCAAGTGTAGTTTAATTATCTGAGGGTAACAGCATTCCAATAGTAACCAGCAGACATATTATGCTGGGCAAGTTGTACATGATGTATTTCATCCCACTCGCATGCCAAATGTATGTGTGAATCTCTGAACTCCTGCAGTCCCAACCTGACTTGCGAACGCACTTGCATTTGGGTCTGGAATGAGGATATGGAGGCTAAGAAGGGCGGGTGCCTACTCTTTCTTACTAGCATCCTCATGATCTAAAACAAAAAATTTTCCTAACAGTTTTTTTTTTTTTGGTACCGGGGATCAAACTCAGGTCCTTGCGCTTGTGCAGTCTAACAGTTTTTGAAAATGCAGCCCACAGGCTGCATGCATTACTGAGAGGGTGAGGCTCCTTCTGAGTCTTGTATTTAGATGGGCAGAGAGTGAGGCAGAACAAGGCCAGTGTCTTGTTCCGATGCAATGACTGATAGAAACAAAGTTGGCATTCTCAGGTACAGACTCTAAGCTGTATGGAACTTCTCCAGAGATAAGTGGGCCATAAGGGAGAAGAGATGGGGGAGGCTGGAGGGAAAAGGAGAATGCACACGGGAAAAGGCCCAGGTCCTCAGGCAGGCTAAGTGAGGGAGGGGAGTCCAGGCTATTGGAGTGGGGAAAGGGGAGCACATACCTGAGTCCCACATTATTGACATCATCCCAAATGGAGGCAGGGAGCTCCCAGAATGTCTTACTGGTAGTGTTCAGGAGTGTCTGGAAGGCACAGGGAGGGGGAATGATTGGATGATCTGAAGGCAGAAGGTGTAACGGGCTGGGTAATGGAAGGGACAGTGAATGGGGCCAGAAGGGGGGGTAAGGAACGTGGAGCTGGATCAAGTTCAGAGGGTGCCTGAACCCCAGCAAAGGCATTATTGACCAGCACATTCAGATGCCCATTCTGTTCTTGAGCTACTTGTTCAAATAGGCTTCGCACTTCATTCTCCTGGCTTGAATCACACACCACAGGCACACACCAGCCTCCAAGGGATTGTGGCTGGTGAAGAACAGAGGACATGAGCTCACAGTTGCACACTAGTGTGAGATACAATGCAATTTCTCCAACTAAAGCGGGTCTGGGAAGGTGATCAGAGGAATCAAAGCCAGCAGTCAACATGGCAGGCAATACCGCCCCCTGGTGTCTGTTTGAGGAGTTTCAGGAATAGTGAGTGGGTTCTCCCAACCCACAGAGCAAGGTGGATTGGGATCTCAGGCACAAAATCCTCAAAGGCTGAGCATAGTGGTGCATGCCTATAATCCCAGCACTTGGAAGGCTGAGGCAGGAGGATTGCCATGAGTTCAAGGTCAGCCTGGGCTACATAGTGAATCTCAAAATAAATAAATAAATAAAATTTAAAAATTGACATTTAGGATATACAGTATAACGTTTACATTCCTTGTGGGTATTTGGTACATGTACATGACACATCTTACATCTTTTTACTGCCCCTTCCTCATTTCGCCCTTTCCTCAACCTTGGTCTCCTGGACCCCTGCCCATTTCCAAAAAATCTATTTTCCTGTTTACTTCTATTTTTTAAACCCTCTCACCATTTACTTTTACCAGTCCTTTATTTTTTTGTGCTTTGCCTTATTCAAATTAGAGATACTATATGTGAAGGACCCTGGTTAGCAAGACAGACTCCATATTGCTGCTTGACCCACCTGCGGGCCCTTTAGATGAACTCAGAAGGAGGAAGCTTAGAAACCTCCTCCCCTTAGAGAGTCTCTTAGAAGCAACAATTAATCAACTATTGTTTTACAAATGTTCTAACGACAGGGCGTTCTGCTTCTGTACCTTTTGCTTGCTTTGCTAGTTCTATCCCATAGGGGTGCCTAGAAACTGCTCGCCTCAAAGGTGTATAAAATATGTTAATCTCCCCCAGTCAAGACTCGAGTCCGATGCTTGGCTCGGTCCCAGCCGGTAATAAACTCCTGTGTGGATTTAATATCGCTCTCTGGTTGGTTCTTTCTCGCTGGGTGCAACAATATGGTATTTAAACTTGTGTGTCTGATTTATTTCACTTAACGTTGTATTTTCCAGGTATACCCATTTTTCTAAAAATATCTCAAATTTATCCTTCTTTATAGCTGAGTATAGATACATTTTCTTTATCCATTCATCTAAAAATAACAATAATAATGAAAACGGGGAAAGGAGATTTAGAGTCGGAAGGAGGGAGGTAGGTGGGGAGGGAAGGTAAAAAAAAGCAAGATGTGTTATGTACATGTACCTATTCACTAAGATCAGTGTAAACTTCATGTACTGCAAACACGTACTAATAAAATTTTAAAAATCTATAAACATTTATTAAGGCCTTTCATATGCAAGCTGAGGATAAAAGACAAGTCATGGAGCCTACTCCTAAAACAAGTAACTAAATTTTTCCTCATCCTTGCTCATTTCCAACACTCATGTCCTTAGCTCCTACACTTTACCACTCACTTGAAACTCTACCACTCCCAGTCCTCTTTTCCCCACTCTTCCAATGCTCCTGCTTGGTAAATGAAAAATCAACGGCAGGGGTCAGGGATTTAGCTCAGTGGCACTGTGCCTGCCTTGCAAGTGCAAGATCCTGAGTTTGATCCTGATACTGAGGGAAAAAAAAAAGAAAAAAAGAAGAAAAAAGAAAAGAAAAGAAAAATCAAAGGGATCAGGGGAACAATTTCCACTTCCTGGTCTTCTGCATCCTCTACAAATGTGCCCCATCCTCCAGCCTCAGAGGAAGAAGAGTACCGTATTCAAGAACAATCCCTTATTCTCCAGATTTAAGCTCTATGCTCCACCCTATTACTCTCTTACTTGTCAACTACAGCAACACCTAACTACTCACTCAACATCTATTCTTTTTGCCTTAAATTCATTCTTCATAATCCAGTCAATGTAAAGGATCAGAAACATGAATCTATTTGAAAATTTGAAATCTTCTAACTGGATCACTTTTTTTTAGTGTTGGTGACAGAACCTCAAGACTTTGAACGTGCTAGGCACGCACTCTACCATGAGCTACACCTGCAATCCTTTGCCAGTGACCTTTAAGATCCACTGTTTGCTTGATGGCATCTCACCCACTACTCCCCCCTTGCATTGCCTAACAATTCCATAGACTTTCACCATTCTCCTCCACTCCCCCATGCATGCTGGGGATTGAACCCAGAGCCTTATGCAATGTTCAGAAGGTGCTCTCGCACTGAGATATATTCTCAGCCCTTCTTTACCTAATGCTCACCTTTCAAGAGTCAGTTTAAAGATCACCTCCTCCAGAACGTTTTCCCTAACCACTCCCTTTATTAGCTCTATGCCCCTCCACACACCTGGAGTCTGCTGTGCACATCTCCCTCTTATCACTTATATTACACTGAAATGACTGGTTTCTGTATCTGACTTCCTGCTGGACTTGGAAGAGTGAAAATTATATTTTATTCATCTTGGGAACCCCAGTGGTTTTCTCTATGCCTAGCAAATCAGAGGTACTCAAATACTTATTTTACTGAAACCAAGTAGAGAAGTCAAATGAAAGTATACAGTCCAGTAACATCTTACCTAAAATAGAAGAAAGCCCAGGTCTAAAAGCCATTAGCTGAAATTCCCAAACCCCTGAAACTTTTTTTTTTTTTTTTTGGTACCAGGGATCGAATTTGGGTCCTTGCGCTTTCGAGGCAGGCGGCGGAACCACTGAGCTAAATTCCTGGTCCTGTCCCCCCACCCCTGAAACTCTCAAACACAATTTTTTTTTTCCATAAAACTCACTTGGGGGCCGGGGATTTAGCTCAGTGGTTCTGGCGCCTGCCTCGCAAGCGCAAGGAGTTCGATCCCCAGTACCAAACAAAAAACAAAAAACAACAAAAAAAACAAGGACTGAGGATTTAGCCCAGTGGTTTAGCCGCCTGCTGAGCAAGCGCAAGGACCCGAGTTCGTGTACCAAAAACAAAACAAAACAAAAACTCACTTGGTAGCGAAATTCGGTCTTACCTGAAGTTACTTATGGAGTTTATTATATTCTGAGTAAATATTTATGTTTTGTTGAGGAATACTAAAATGTCTGGTATGGGACTGGATGCTGAAGAGTGGCTAATTAGAAGACGTCCCTCAGGTGGTCACTTACCTCCTCAGCAGCCACCCAAAGGGTGTCCTCATGGCGGCCACTTATGTAAACTGTGGCACCTGCTTGGCAGAGCTGCAAGGCAATGCCACGGCCAATACCCCTGGAGGCACGTTACCACACACACTTGGCCCTTCATGAGCGCTGCCATAACTCAGGTAAAGGGGGTTATCTGTGAAGCAAAGAGTAGCTTTGAAGGAAGCCTACAGACTGTGTCTGGAGAAGGGATCCCGTCAAGATAGGAAAGGTAGCCAAGGTTGGAATCCTTTGAGGGGAGACAAGTTTCAGTGGAGGACAACTGAACTCGGGCTCCAGGCTAGGCTGACTGTTCCTTTTGGGAAGCCCAGGGTAAGAAGGCTGGATGGGACACACCTGCTGCGACCTTGTGAGTGGAGCTAACTAGGTTGGGGTTCTGGCAAGGCAGCTCCTCAGGGATGGATCACGTAAAATCTTTGAGTATTTGGAGCTCTGGCCCAGGTTGGCACAGTCCTGTCCCAATGCGGCCAAGCCAGGGAATGGCTTCCAGGTCAGGTACGCTTTACCTGCAGACCACAGTGCCTCTGAAGTCCCGGCTAGGTTTAGTTCTCCAGGCCTTTAAAAATACGGTAGTTGGAGAACTTTTCATTCCTGCCGACAGGCGGGACGAAGTGACTCTACCTGGGTCAGAGTCCAGGTGCTGGCCAAGTTTGAGAAGGGGACGTGGGGGAGACTCAAGAATCGCGGGGTACTGTCGGAGACGATTCTTGGCCAGGTCCGAGGGGGCGGAGTCACCCGCCGAGCCCGTCCCGGGTTGTCGCGGCGCTATGACATAGCACGCTGCTCCGGGAACGCGCCGGCGTTTCCACGCCTAGCGGCGCCAGAGCCCTGCAACGAAAGAAGTTCTCACAGACTGTAGGATCCCGAAGTTCTATGGGGCTGGGCCCACGCTCCCCCCGCAAGGCGGGGCGCCAGTTCCCAGCTGGCGGCAAGCGGGGGCGCGGGGCCAAAGGGTCGGGGCGACCCCCATCAGGCCGCGAACGGCAGCCCCGATCGCCTGCGGACTGGAGCTCGAAGCCGGCTATAGATGAGCATCCACACCTGAGCTCCGAAGCTCTGGGGTACTTCCGACGGGCGCTGTCAGCGCTGAAGGAGGCGCCTGAGGCCGGGGAAGAACGAGGTAGGAAGCAGCTAAGGGGTGGAATCAAAATCATAAAATCCAGAACAGGCAAAAAAAAAAAAAACGTTCTAGGGTCTCCAGAGTGCGGGGAATTAGTTTTATCCCTCATGTTCTCTTTAAGCTCCCGCCCTCCTCCCCTTAGGTGATGAACATAACCGTATCCTCTTCCCGGTCTCTTTAAAATATTTCTCTCCCCTTCCTCCCCCCCCCCCCCACCCAGAGCTGATGGTGCATAATATTTTGAAGGAAGTGGAATCTCAAGCCCTAGCCTTAGCCACGAACAGGACCGGTAGTGAGATGCTGCAAGAACTCTTGGGATTCAGTCCTTTGAAACCGCTATGTCAAATTTGGGCTGCTCTGCGCTCCAACTTTCGTTTAGTGGCCTGTCATCGTTGTGGGGTCCACGTATTGCAAAGTGCTTTGCTGCAGTTGCCTCGATTGCTGGCGAGTCCTGCAGAAGAGGAGAGGAAGGAGGAGGAGGAGGAGGAAGAGGAGGAGGAGAAAGATGGAAAGAATGGTACTTTGGAGGCCCTGGAGGAGCTGGTCCTGGGACTGGGCTCTGAGATGTGTGATGATTTTCTTTTTTACTGTGGAGACACACATGGCAGCTTCGTGGTGAGAACTCTGCTGCAGGTGTTAGGAGGGACTCTTCTGGAGTCTGAGAGAGCCAGGCCGCATGGCTCCCAGTCATCTGGTAAGTATTACAAGAAAGGGAACTAGACCTAGTGGGAAGGAGAGTTTAGGAAGTTCAGAACAGAGTAGGCAGAAGAGCAAGTCTTCATTAGGTAGTTTGACCTTGGAGAATTAGCAGAGAAATTAGCTCAAAGATTAGTGTGTACAGAGGCCTAGAAGTAAGGACATACAGATGTGTTTAGGGGGTCAGCTGTTAGGATGGGGGCAGGAAGAGAAGTGACTGATATAGAGCCATAGACTTCAAACTATTTTTTTAACCCATAACTCATAGGATATTTATTTTTAAATATGATTCAACACTTATATATAGATAGATATAGATATATTCATATATATGTGTGTGTATAGCTGTATGTGTACACATTGGACTGAAACAAAAGTTCGGGAAATATCCTTAACTATATGCAACCCACTCTGGTATTTTCTTTGATTTATAATTTTACTCTGCTCGATTAACACAATGCTCGTCAAGGTCACTAACTTTATTTCATGATACAGTCATATGCTGTGACTTAAATTTTGAAAAACAGAAATATGGTCAGAGTTTTTAAATAAGGCCTGATTTTGGAATACCATCCAAACCTGGCTGAGGAGTTTGAACTATCTCTTGTGGACCATAAGGGAACTGGTTGGAATTTCTTGAAAAATTAAAACAGAAATGTCTCAGTTCAGTCATCCAAAAGAGACATTTCAGTTGCATCATATCTATTCTACATCTCCAAGCTGAGTCCTTGTTCATCTATGAAATTCTTCTTCCTTCTTTTTTTTTTTGGTACTGGGGATCGAACTCGGGACCTTCTGCTTTTGAGGCAGGAGTGGCACCACTGAGCTAAATCCCTGGCCCTCTTCTTCCTTCTGATTGGCAGTTTTTGACTCAACATTGCACATGTTCTTGATTCTCCTTTAGAAGCACTAAGGGCCCCAACTCGGGAATGTAAGCCAACTGATTTTGAGGTCCCTGAAACCTTCTTGCATTGTCTTCAGGACCTGAGCTCCTGTTTTCTGAAGGACATTGCTGGTAAGGAGGGAATTTGGAGGAGGGTCTGGGATCCACATTTTGGGAGGTGATTACTCCCACGCTCAGTCCTTAGGTCAAATCATTCCTCCTCTCTTTGAACCTGGTCTGGCTTGATATTGCAAAGTATATAGATTCTTTGTGTCTGTCGTCCCTTGTACCTTGTTGCTCAAGGTTTGAAGTTGTACAGGTTGTTTGGATTTTGGAAAATATTTAATTATTTCTGCCCTCTCCCTACAGTGTTTATCACTGACAAGATCTCCAGCTTCTGCCTTCAAGTAGCCTTACAGATCTTACACCGAAAACTGCCCCAGCTTTGTGCCCATCTCTGCAGTGCTACGATTGGCTACCTGAGTACTCGTAATTCCTCAGCAGATGGCAGGTATGGTCAGGGTCTTCGAGTCAGCCAGAGTTGGTGGGGCTGTGTTAAATGAGTGAGGTGATGTGCTACAATTGCATTTTGGATGAAGTGCAGTTACAATTGCCTGATCCTCTTCCCCTTGTCCCCAGCCCCCTACTGCTATTTCTGCGGGATCAGACGAGCTCTAGACTCTTAGAGCAGGTGCTTCTAGTGTTGGAGCCCCAAAAGCTCCAGAGTCTCTTTGAGGATCATTTCCAGGGTCAGCTACAGACCTTGGCTGCACATCCCATTGCTAACTTCCCTTTGCAGCGCTTATTGGATGCAATCACTGCCCCTGAGCTGGTGAGTTGGAAACCTGGGCTGGGTTTTTTCCTTTTATTCTTGTTTATTGGATATTATTTTATTGTGTCCCTGCCTCTGTATATCTCTGACAGTGTGCTGCCCATTGCTTTTGTAAAGTTTTTATTCGGAGTTTTCTAGAGCTTAGAATGGAGATGCCCTCCTCCTAGAGGGGATTTGTTTTAGCTTCTTAGGAGCAAGTACCAGCAGGAGACTGTCTTAATTCAGGTTGTCAGCTTGAAGTTCCATGGCTACCTATACTCTTGGTTCTTAGTTACAAATCTATACAACACTGGGCTATTGCCTTGATTCTCTTTTCCTTTGCTGCTTAGCACCAGGGTGGGCTTTCCAGTGGGCTCATGGGTTGGGAGTTGGAGTAGAAAGGTAGGTGATTTCTAGTTCTCCCTTACATGAAGGGGCTGTTTAAAGTCCCCTCTTTATGTGAAGTGGCACCTCTCTACCGTTGCGTCTTGGGCTTACTCAGCCAAGCCAAAGTCCTGACATTGGCAAACCTTTTTATTATATTTTATGTAGTACTTTTAGTTGTTTTCAGCAAGAAGATTTCTCTGAAAAACTTAATCCATTATTACTAGAAGACCAAAGACTCTTCATCCCATGTTTCTCCTTAGCTGTCCCCTGTGTTTGAGGAGCTGAGTCCTGCCCTGGAAGCTATCCTGGCCCAGGGCCACACAGGGGTAGTTGTTGCCCTGGTGGGAGCCTGCCGCAAAGTTGGGGCTCACCAAGCCCAGGTCTTGCAGCTATTGTTAGAGGTGAGTATGTTACTTACAGTTGATTTATGCCCACAGTCTAAATTCTGCTACTTCAGGATGTATCCAAGTTTTAGTCATTGTACCTCTAGACCCAAGAGGTCTAAGGGAGTTCACAGATACAGGGAAAAATATATCCAAGAGACATCTCACAGCTCTAGAATGAAAATTGTTTCTCATAGCTGAGAAAAGTTTAAGGGATAAGTGTTTATTCAATCCCTGTTATATGTAGAGGGTGGGGATATAGCAAAGCGGATAAGATCCAGCCCTCTTAAAGTTTACTTTCTTGTGGAGTTAGGCTTTCTCCCCTTTCCTGAATGTTTTCTCTTTAGAAAGTCGAGATTGGGGATGTGTAGTTCTCAGAACCATCATATTTTTTTCTCCTTTAGGCGTTCCACTGTGCAAAGCCCTCTTCCCGGCATGTGGCCTGTGTGCCTCTCTTTGCCACTTTGATGGCTTACGAGGTGTACTATGAGCTTACAGAGGAGGAAGGGGCAGTGCCTGCAGAGCACCAGGTGAGTTAGGGGAGAGGCTAAGGTGGGGGCTGGGGCCTCCCTGGGCTTAGGAGGCCCTTTGAGTGAGGTGGTGAGATTTCTGACTTCATCCAGGGCAATGTGGCACTACCCTGAGGCTGAGCTCATTCACCTGGTTTGGTAGCTGCCCCCTAATTTCCTGTCTCCTTGCTTCCAGGTGGAAATAGCCACATCCAGGGCCCTTGGCGAAGTGACAGTACTTGGTTCTCTACTGCTTCAGCATCTGCTGCACTTCTCTAACCCTGCTCTTGTACTTCGAAGTCTGGGTGCCTTGACAGGACCACAACTTCTGACTCTGGCCCAGAGCCCTGCTGGTTCTCATGTACTGGATGCCATCCTGACCAGTGCCTCTGTGACATGCAAGCAGCGCCGCCGTGTGCTGCAGACCCTAAAGGTTAGAGTTCTGGCTTCTGCTTGATTTCCTTCCATTATCTCTGTACAGAAAATGAGCTCCCCTCAGAAGTGTACCGTAGAGTCAAGATAAGATATGTAGTTCCCAGACTGTTTGACTCAGTCTCTAAGTTCTTTTGAAATTTTGTTTCTCCTACCTGCCAAGACACTTTCATACATTTCCCAATGCAGGGACAATATGTGGCTTTGGCCTGTAGTCGCCATGGCAGCCGTGTTCTAGATGCCATTTGGAGTGGAGCAGCTTTGGGCGCTCGGAAGGAAATCGCTACAGAGCTAGGTGAGTTCCAGTGTGTCTCTTTGATGCTTGCAAACTTCCTGCCAAATAGCTGGGTGGCTGGAGAGTGGACTTAAATTCAGCAGAGACTTCAATTGCCAAGGGTGGTCTTGGTTACTGGTCCTTAACAGTCTGCTCTCACCTTGCCCTCTGTTGACTTATTGTACAGTCTCTGTTCCCACCTCTCCTGGCTTCTTGTGACCTTTACCCCAAGTAGAATCTGTGTCCAAGTGTGGGTGGTACTAAATATGAGTGGTTCCTTTTGCAGGGGAGCAAAACCAGGAGCTGATAAGAGACCCTTTTGGCCACCACGTGGCTCGAAATGTGGCCCTGACTACCTTCCTGAAGCGGCGAGAAGCTTGGGAACAGCAGCAGAGTGCAGTGGCCAAACGGAGGCGGGTGTTGAATGCAATACTTGAAGACTAAGGCCCTGGGATCTGGGACTGGGCACTGATAGGGAGGGTGAATGAGAGTATCTATCCTGTCCCTTTCCTGCTTTAAATTGGAGTCAAAAGTCTTGGTAAACATTTCTATATTTTTATTGTTTTTTTTTTTTTTTAGATGAAAGATTTGAGGAAATAGAGATCTCAAGATAAAGTCAGAGGGCTGTCAGCAATGTGGGGAGCTTAGGGACAGGAGGAGTTGGTAGGGATATAGATGTAGCAGCAGTTTAGGGGGATTTCCTAAATCTAGATGACTGGGGACAGGTTGGGGCCTTTCAGGGTAAGTGGGAGGCTGGAAATATGGGTAGGATGGGATAGCGTATTTAGGAAAGAGTTTGGTTGGGGGAGTAAAGGATTATGCTGATGGGTTCTATCACAGTGGGGTCAGAAGACAGTGGGGGATTTGGGTGTTGTTTAGTCTGCACTGTCTACAGGTCCTGAAGCTGGATGCTGTCACAGTCCTCACGACATGTCTCGTAGAATGAGTCTGGGGGCAAAAGCTCAGGCCCCCTTCTCAGCAGGAATGGAGGCGACGCTGACATTGCCAGTGCTCAGCTCCCTCCACTACATGGTGAAGGGTGGAGGAAATACCCAGCAGTATATGGCCAAGGCCTTGCAGCAGCTTGGAGATCCAACGGAGGAGCTCCCTGAAGTGCAGAGACAAGAGGAAATCAGATGATTAGGGGAAACCAGGAGTTTCCTGAGAGCTAGAGTTTATCACAAGGGGGTGCTAAGTGGGGGTGAATGGGTGTAGGAGGTGGAATTATGGGAACTACACAACTATAAGGAAGATGGAGTTGTAGGATATGTTGATTTCTGACCTGAGTACTCTTTTTGGACCCATTCCTTGAAAGTCACAACTCATAGAGTAGAGCCCGTAGAATGTTGCTTTGACGTTTAGGCTGCCGAAGAGGTCTCGAGGATTTTGCTTGTACACATCAAAGGTGATGCGGGCAATGTCCTTACTGTGCTTTGGCTTCTCTCGGCCCAGGCCATATGACAGCATCCCACTCTGTAGGGCATCCACATCAGTGCAATGGACCCTTACACCCTGCCACCCACCACTGATCCCCATCAACATTGGTCAGACCCACTGTGAACTGTGTCCACTTTGTGATGTCCTTGACAACTCCATAGCTCTCCCAGTGCCTCTGCCCCAAGATGGGGGTTAGGCTAGAGAAGAGGTTGGGGAGAGCTATAGAGCATTGTTGGCCTAAGCAGCTCCAGTATGGGCCTCTTACCCTGGTGGAGCTCCAGCTCTGCCCTGGCTCCAACACCATCAAGCATGTGTCATCCTCCAACAGCTGAAAGAAGTCCTCACTCTCCACAGTAGTCCCATCCTCCTCTAATACCAGTGTTAGCACTCCACTCAGTGACAGGGTCTCCAGTGCCTGCCCAGTGGCAAGAAACAGAGGGAAGAAGCCTATCTCATACCATTCCCCTCCCCTCCTTAGCTGGCAACATCCATTGTTCAGTCCTAGACATTGGTTGATACACCAGCTCTACATCCTGGTGCTTTGACATTCCTTCTTAAGGTATCATCTCAGTGTCCTTTAGTTATTGGGGATCCCTCACTAGGGGTGACCGTGTGTGTGTGTATATGTATGTATATATGTCTATGTCAGTGCTGGGGATTGAATCAAGGCCTTGGCAAACAACTCTGCCATTGACCTATACCTCCAACCTCTCCTACCATGTCATTGTCACTTTTCACACAGATCACTATTCCTGACTTACGAATTCTATCCCTTCAGCCCTCCCCATCTACTGCTTCCTCCTACTCCCAAAGAGAAGTCCATTACAGTGGTACCTTGGTACTCATCATCAATTGGTTCTGGGAGGTGCGATGAGTCCCAAAAACGAAAAGTATCAAATTATTTCGGCTGAAAAAGGTATCCCATCATAAGGCAATCAGCATGAATCAACGTGTATCAATGAGTACTAGGACACAACGATTACCACACAGTGAGTACTGGGTCAAAGTTTTTATGTGAAAATGCACTGAGTACCAAGTTCGGTGAGTTTTAAAACACTTGAGTACCAAGGTATGACTGTACCTGGAAAATAAATGAATTCACCCCAATGCAAGAGAGATCATTGGGTTAACTGCCTCACTCTTGGCCCTTAAGAGAGAGGGACAGCTGTGTGACCTCACCCCTTTCTGCTCCATCATTCCAACTTGTCACTGTTCTTGAGCCCCCTGGCTGTCCGTGATATGGGAACCCGGGAACCTGGCTCACCTTATCTAGCAGTTCCTGGTGGCTGGCAGCTGTTAGACCTTTCCTAATTGTCCGCCTGTGATCACAGACTCGGAAAGGTCGCTGAGGTGGTGGAGCTGAGGTCCAGACTCTACGGCCAAACTCAGAGCTCACGTTGGATACTGACCTGGTAGTTTGGAAGAAAAGTCAAGAAGGGAGGAGGAGGGGCTCTGAGTGTAGTGGGGATGGTAGGGGTGGGATGGCTGGAGGGTTAGGGCAGAGCATTAGGTCTGTGAATTAGCCAACTGGATGAAGACCATGCAGTGGGGTTAGGGGCTGGACTAACCTGTGTAAGGGAAGTGAGTCTCATAGGGGCTGAAAGGTTTGTTGCCCTCCCTGCTCCTGTCCCCAGAGTTGGAGGGTGTAGAGAAGGGCTAGGGATTACCTGAGTAGGTCTTTGGGGTTCAAGGATGGGAGGTAATCCATGGCAGAGGGAGGCAGTAGGAAAGCTGCCTCTCTGGCTCTTGCTGGGCTGGGGCTGAAGTGTTGTTTTCTGTTGCAAAGCTGGAATCTCAGCCTTGGAGAGGTGGGAGATGAGTCACACCTGGACTCTGGACCCCCTTCCTGGCCAGTAAGAAGGACAAAGTCCAAGGGGAGGGAAGGAGGAGGAGCCTAGACTGGGTCATCTGCAGGGTTGCCCAGCAAAAGCCAATGAAGCTGGGGTGGGGGGTGGTGTGAGGCGGGGAGGGGTTAAGACATTGAGGGTAAACAGGAATTATATGAAAAAATTAGAATGTGGCTTCTGGTGTTTTTATTTCTGTGGAGGGAACTTTGGTTTTTCTTTTTCGGAGGGAATTTTATAGGATCTGTTTCTGGCTCCCAGCCTCCCAGAAGCTGCATTGTGAGTGATCTGCACTATTTTTGTGCCACCTACTGGAAAAACGGTAAGCTGCAGCTTTTGGAAAAGGTTGTGCCCAGGGTGAGAAACTGGCTAAGTGTGGCAAATAGGGTGGCAGCTTGAGTGAGGCCTAGAGAAGGTGAGTGTGAGGCAGTGTGTCTGGGAGTGGTGTGAGGAGAGGATGGATCCTGATCTGTGGATCTGTCTGCAACTGTAGCCTTCCTGCCTACCTGCTCCTTCCTCCTTGGTTGGAGAGGGTCTGGCTCAACATTTCTCTGGTTTCACTTGCCAGAACTGCATGCTCAGTGACATTGTAATAGTCACCTTTTCTCTTACCCTTTTTCCTTTTTCCAATAAACGAACATGAATAAGATGTGAGTGGGACAGGAGGTGTCCTTTGGTACCCTGCATTCCATCTCTGTCGTCAGTGGCCGCAGTGAAGCTCAGAATCGGAGTGCACTCCTCAAATGAGCACCATCTGAGCTTCCCTGTACAGGAGGCATAAGACTCCCCGCCCCCAGCTTCCCTAGCCTGCTTTCTGTGTGCTGACCAAGAAACACAGACTACCTCGACCATCCTGTGATCCAGGCAGCTGCATTTCTCATGCAGGCTTGAGCCCAGCTGGGGCCTTGAGTGCTTCTGGCATTGATAAAGATGTTTATGATATTGGGCAAAAACACTGAAAGAAACTAGACCCAGCCCCGACCCAGATTTCTTAAACCCTCACAAAAACTGTGGCAAGAGGTAGGTAGAATGTATCTTCCTCTCCCTGTGTGTCACGAGGATACAGTGCTGCCCATACTATAAGGATGGAAATATTTTGGACTAATCATCCAGGTGTTGATAGCTTTTTTCTTCGGAATCCCAGCGGATGCCATCTTGAGCTGTCTGGGATGTTCCCTTGTGGGAACTGTCCTACCACTACTCTTGGGACAATGCAGTTATGAGTTTGGCCCATATGGGAGATGCTTTGATGGAAGCTGTGGCAGCTCACTCAGACCCTTAAAATACAGGCATCAGGGGGCAGTCCCCAAACAACGGGAATTCTGTACATTTCTCAGAGGTATCCAGTGCCTACCAACGGAACACACTAACACTCTTCTTGGCTTTCCTCTCCTATCTTACCCTGTCTTCTTCCTGAGGTGACCCCCCCCAATACAGGAGTACCTGTACCTTTATTTCAGCCTCTGCTTTAGAGGAACACAAACTAAGACAATGGCGCTGGTATTCTTGTTCCCAGGGAATCCCAGTTGTGGCCATCAATTGGACAGAGGCCCTTCTTTCCACCACTCTACCTGCCAGGTCTCTTTCAAGTATCTTCATTTCCAAGCTTTGTCTGACCTCTCCAAGAAGAGAGGCTTCTTTTCAGTATGTTTCTACCACTGCACCCTTTCCTGTCTTGTACCCTGGTATAGCCTCATCACATGGGCCTCTCATGCTTGTGTTATGACTCCCCAACAAGGTCAAGAGCTCTTTATAACTCTGAAGTCCCTGTTTCCTCCAGGCCCTAGAACCATGCCTTAAAAGTTGTCACTAAGAACCTAATGAGAGCCTGGAGAGTGGAGGGTAGATGGCAGGGCCCAAAGCAAGAGATGGGAGAGGGTGAGCTGGGAACTGAGGAAATAAAGAGGCTCTGCAGGATCACAAGGCTGAAAACAGGCAAAGAGAGACCAGCTGGAAGAGTGAGTTGTTTGGGTCAATCTCTGTGCCAAGCACTGGCCAGGGAGGCCAGAGAACACAAGTGCTGCAGAAGGTGGACTGGAAGGAGGGGCCGGAGAGGGAGGAGTGATGGGAGCGAAGCAGGGCCTAGGATCAGGCTTCAGCAGAGTGCTCTTACTCCCCTTCTTCTCCAGGGCACCTATCTGCACCCCTTCAGCTTTGTCCTGTTTTCTAGGGAGGCAGGTTCCCACAGGCCTAGGCCTGTTAGTGATGGGAAGGAATAACACGCAGGAAGGGCCCCAGGAAAGGGCCAGGATAAGCCCCATCTTGTCCCTCCCTATTCTCACCTCACCCTCTGCGAATGTGAAAGTCACAGGACAGGAGCAGGAGCCTCACCCACTGCGGCTTCACCATTCACCTTTCCCAGGCCTCTTGCAGATCCCCAACCTTGCCTGTTCCCTGCTGAGTAAGTAGGTCTGCCTGTGCGCCTTTGCAGCCCACTGCCCACTTTTGCCCTGAGGTATAAGAAATGGGGCTGGACCAAGAGGAAGGGGCCAGGCTAGAGGGGTAGAGGTGAACATAATGAGATCCTGGAGTGAGGACTGTGGCTCTGGGTACCACTGAGCTCTGGGAAGGTGCTAGGAGGGGAGTAGGTCAGATGACTGGGAGCAGCTGATCTGGGTTCTAAGAAAGTCGTGTTTGAATTGGGGCTCAGGGTCCTCGAGGAAGTCAAGGCTCCCAGAGCAAGGGGAGCAGGTTACAGGGAAGTGGAGGGAGGTGCGAGGAGATGCACAGTGCCTTCTCGCCTAGCACCCTTAGTATAGGGCCTTGGCCCCACCCCTCAGCGCCCTCTATGGCCCCTTCCAGCCCCCTGTAGGAGATGAAGAATGACGGTCTGCTACAGTCCCCCGGGGAACGAGACGCTGCTGAGCTCCAAGGCTTCGCGGGCCACAGGCACTGCCTTCCTGCTGCTGGCCGCGCTGCTAGGACTGCCCGGAAATGGCTTTGTGGTGTGGAGCTTGGCAGGCTGGCGGCCCGCCCAGGGACGGCCACTGGCTGCAACGCTCGTGCTGCACCTGGCGCTGGCTGACGGCGCGGTGCTGTTGCTTACACCGCTCTTCGTGGCCTTCCTGGTCGGGCAGACCTGGCCGCTGGGCCAGGCAGGCTGCAAGGCGGTGTACTACGTGTGCGCCCTCAGTATGTACGCCAGCGTGCTGCTCACCAGCCTGCTCAGCCTGCAGCGCTGCCTCGCAGTCACCCGCCCCTTCCTGGCGCCCCGGCTGCGCAGCCCGGCCCTGGCCCGCCACCTGCTGCTGGCAGTGTGGCTGGCCGCCCTGCTGCTCGCCGTCCCGGCCGCTGTCTACCGCCACCTCTGGGGTGACCGCGTGTGCCAGCTGTGCCACCCGTCGCCGGCCCACGCCGCCGCACACCTGGGCCTGGAGACTCTGACCGCCTTCGTGCTTCCTTTTGGGCTGATGCTGGTCTGCTACAGTGTGACTCTGGCGCGGGTGTGGGGCGCCCGCTGGGGCTCCCGGAGGCACGGCGCGCGGGTGGGCCGGCTGGTGAGCGCCATCGTGCTGGCCTTCGGCTTGCTCTGGGCCCCCTACCACGCAGTCAACCTGCTGCAAGCGGTGGCCGTACTCGCTCCACCCGAAGGGGCCTTGGCGAGGCTGGGTGGGGCCGGACAGGCAGTCCGAGCTGGAACCACGGCCTTGGCCTTCTTCAGCTCCAGCGTCAACCCGGTGCTCTACGTCTTCACCGCTGGGGATCTGCTGCCTCGGGCTGGTCCTCGTTTCCTCATGCGGCTCTTCGAGGGTTCCTGGGAAGCCCGAGGGGGCAGCCGCTCTAGGGAAGGCACCATGGAGCTCCGAACTACTCCTCGGCTAAAAGTAGTGGGGCAGGTTGGAGGCAATGGAGACCCCGGGGGCGGGCTGAAGAGGGGCAGTCAAGAATGGGATCCTTGACACTAAACCCCCGCACGGGCTGGGCCTGCTCTTCCCTGAAACTTCCCATGCCCCCTGAAATTCACCACTCTGGGGCTTTTGGGGACCCTTCTCTGAACACAGTTTGGATTTGGCAGAGCAGGATTATTACACACTTGGGGCAGGCCCAGATTCCTCCAGACTGAGGGGTTGTGAGGGTGGGGATGGCCCATGTTAAAAATATCATGTGCTTGGAGGTTGGCGTGGACTCATGTGCCAGCATTGCTCACCTGTTGCCAGTAGCTGTTGCGAAATATACTGGAAGCCATAGGATGATGGCTTAAGTGTGCTCCCTTTGGTGGTTCATCAAGCTTGAATTGCATGGACGCCACCTGCTTCCCAGCTGGTCCAGTCCAGGGAGGGACAGTGTGGCCAGCCTTCAGTGGCATCCTGCCCTGTCCTCCTCAGTCTGGGTGGCCTGGCTCCCCTAGGCTTATCCATGGAACCCCTCTGGAAATAAAGGGAGAAAGAGGAAGGAAAGGTATGGGAGTTTAGATGGAGATAAAGATGAGATCCATTCTTTGGGGGCTGGGGGAAGAAACTGGTCTGAAAGGGGAAGGTAAATCAATGGGCTTTGAAAAGAAGTGTTCCTGCCGCTCTTGTGGTTGGTACAGTTGGAGAGGCACACAAGGACAGTGATGCAGGGGCCTGGGAGTCAAAGACTTACCTGACCACCTGACCGCCCCACCCAGGGCAGTCTTGAAAAGGTGCTCAGGAGCCAGCTCTGGCTCAGCCAGAGGAAGTTTAAGGGTTGAGAGTGAGGGGAGCATGATGAATGGCCAGATTATTTGGAAAAAAGTATTTCTCAGGAAGGTACACTTCTCCTTTCTCTCTTTGCTGAGTCTTGCTACCTCCCAGGACTGCTCACTTTTCCTAACCCCTTCTCTAATACTTCTCAGTCCCCACCTTTTGAAATTTCTCTATTGGTAGGTCTAAAAACTGTTCTGGATCCTGATACTTTTGATTTTGGGAGTATATTATGGGAATCTTTTCAGGGGACATTCACAGGCACACATATAACCAACCCATCCCAGTTAGCCCAGAACTTTCTCAGTTTTAGCACTGAAAGTCCCTTGTCTCAGTCATCAGCCCCCCAGTAAACTGAGATAGTTGGTCACCTGGGTGGTTACTCTGACCATCACCCCAGGGTCTGCTTTAAGTGACTGTTAAACTGTTTATAACCTCCAGGCAAAAGTGAAGAGAGCAAAGGAAATCTAGAACTCAGGGTCATGCCAGGGCCACCAAAACTGAGGTCGGAGGGGTTCTGATCTGGGACACCAGGGAGTATTCTTAGACTGCCTCTTACTTGATGGGGGAAGAAAGGCCCTTTAGGGAGATGAGGTGGGGGGAAGCTTGAGAGAGGAGGCAAAACCACCCAGTTTCTAAAGGGGCTTCAAGTTGCTCCTGGAGCTCTGAGCTGGAAGTTTCTATCACCAAACGTAGGTTTCTTCCTGTCCTGTTACTCAGAGCAAAGGTTCACTGACTTCCTCTGTTACATATTCCCCAGCTTACACACCCTGTGTGGTCAGAAAATCCTTCCTCAACCAGCCTTCAGTTCTTGCTGCGGTTTCAGCCCACTTGTTTTCATCATATCCTCCGCCTGACAGTTACTGGGTCAACTCTGCTCTGGCTTTTCTCAACCCAGAGCAAGTGGGGCAGCTGGAAAATGTAAGGGACTTCAATGGCCACCATTACACCCTGCATCTTTCCTGTGAAGTGGCAGGGTTGAAAGAGAAGCAGGAAGGCTTGTGGTAGACTGAAGGAAGGGATTCTTAGTTCTTAGCTTCCACAGGAGACTTCAAGGAAAAAAGGCATCCTTCCACTCAGGGAGAGAGAGGAGTGACACTTTGGTGCTGTTTTTTTTTTTTTTTTTTCCACATCCCTGGATTCTTGGTATGAGGCATCACTGTCCCTGTGTCCTCACTTCTGCTCATGCTCAGCTCAGCCTCTATTTCCTTTGCCTGTCAAAGGGACACCTGGAGCACCTAAGGCTGTGGGAATGTAGGATTGTTATGGTTTGTGTTTAGCTGTCCCCGCCTCCCCCGCAAAGCCTCATGCAGAGGAGGTGGGACTTTCTTTTTCAGAGGTAGTTGAATCTGGAATGTGTGATGCTGAGGTTAAGGGCGTATGATTACTAAACCTCTACACGTGAGGGACTGGTTTGGCACGCCTTAATCCCAGTAGTTCTAATAAGACAAAAGGGGCAGAAAGATGCTGTTAAACCCTCTTGTTGTCTTTGCTACCTTGTGTGTGCATGTAGTTTCTCCTCTGGGATGTCTGTTTGCCATCCCTGTCTTGGAGTCAGCTGAATACCGGCTGAAACCTCTGAACTGTGAGCCAAATAAACCTCTTCCCCCTTTAACTCTGGGTGTCGGGTATTTTGTCTCAGCAATGAGAGAAAAGTAACCAACACAAGGATGCTGATCTGCTTGCCCACCACTCAGTGCCTAAATCCAAACTCAGCAGGGTAGCCACATGGGCAAATGCAGTGTGAGTGGTTGCGAGAAGAGGAAGAACTTGGTATTCTGTGTGATACCACAGCCATTTAGACACTGGCTTCTACCAAAGAGAATGGAGAATTGGTTGATTTGGAGTAGAATCATCCTTTTAAGTGAAGGGAGGGAGGGGAGGTGCTAGAAGATGCCCTCCACCGCCTGCAACCCTGACAGTGGCTTGAACTGAAGCCAAGAATAAGGTGCTCTCCCCTTTGGTTTACTGGCATGCTCTCTTTAAATCATGATGTTATCTACCCTGTGCCCAGACCCAGAACCTAGTCACAGCGTCAGCTCACACTTCTCACTAATCTGAAGATCTATAGTATACACACATTTCTATGTGAAATATAAAGAAAAAATACTTGTGGATACCAGAATTCTGGCCTCTCATTGTGAGCCTGTTACTCCCTCCAGTTTCCTTCCCTCGTTCTCCTACAATACAATTCATTGCTTTGTTAATCTCTCCAGTCTGGACCTGTATCTTGAGATCACGCCCCGCCAGCTCACTCTCCACACCGCTCTTTCCTCTCATTGCCCCTTCCAGGGCTCTTCTCATCCCCTCCTAGTGAAGGGAGGGTTAGGGTTTCAGCCCCACCCTCAGGAAGATGCACCTTCCCCCTCCCCTGCTCTGTGGTACTTCCTCTCTGGCGGACTTAGCTGACAGCACCCAGACCCAGGGCCAAGCCCCTGGCACTGGGACAGATCTAGGGATCAGCTACCTTGTCCTGACCCTGGGATTGGCACCAGCTTCCAACCAGTATCTGGCAAAACTTGTATGTAAGTACCCTAGGAGGAGGGACGGTGGTGGTGGTGGTGGTGGTGGGAGACCGGGTGGAGCTATGAAAGAAGGTGCCAAGGAATCTCCAAAGAAAACCTGGCCACTATAAAAGGAGCTGGGAGGATTTGCCTTCAAAGCTTGTCCAGTAATGTTTCCCAACCGCTTTAACCCCGGTCTATCCTGGTATCCCTGGGGAGAGTGGGTAGGTGACCGGTAGAAGTCAATGGGACTGAGGGACTAAAGACTGGGCCAGGGACAGAGGAGCTAACCTTTCACAGGGTGTCCCTTCAGTGAGGAAAGTCTCCCAGTTTGATTCTGGATTTGAGGGCCCTTTCCTAAGGGAAGGAGGCTGGAAAGGTCTGGAAATGTTGCTCCTGCTGCTGCTGCTGCCGCTGCCGCCGCTGTATATTTTGCAATTAGGTCTGTGGGCAGAAACATGGCCCAGTTAGGAAACTATTTTTCTATTCCCCTGCTGCGAATAGAACCAAGGTCTTGGAATTGAACAACATGCCCATCCTTTTCTTGTTTCTTATTTTGAGACAGGGTCTCACTAAGTTAGTTACCTAGGCTGGGCATTAACTTGTGATCTTCCCTGCACCTCTGCCTCCCAGAGGGCTGGCCTTACAGGCATGTGCCACCACACCAGGCACAGCTCGCACTGAGAAGGGTCAGTTGGCAGTGATGGGAAATGTGTTATGGAGGGCACTCTTATGCTGCTGATCTCAGAGACAGACCAGACTACTCAGGCTAGGAGTGCCCTGGGCTTCGGCTTCCTACCCTCATACATGTGTCCACCCTCACTCTCCAGGTCCTTGTGATGAACACGAACACTACAACTCTTGCAGCCCCCCCCTCTCGAGGTAACACCTTCATACCTCTGTTGTCTATGATCCTTTTGTCCATGTCGCTGGCTGTGGGGCTTCCCGGCAACACCTTTGTGGTGTGGAGCATCCTGAAAAGGATGCGGAAGCGGTCAGTCACTGCCCTGATGGTGTTGAACTTGGCCCTGGCTGACTTGGCCGTATTGCTCACCGCTCCCTTTTTCCTGCACTTCCTGGCCCAGCGCACGTGGAGTTTTAAACTGGCTGGCTGCCGCCTGTGCCACTATATCTGTGGAGTCAGCATGTATGCCAGTGTCCTGCTCATCACGGCCATGAGTCTGGACCGTTCCCTGGCAGTGGCCAGTCCCTTTCTGTCCCAGAAGATGCGCACCAAGGCGGCGGCCCGGTGGCTGCTGGCAGGCATCTGGGTGGCTTCCTTCCTGCTGGCCACGCCAGTCCTCGTGTTCCGCACGGTGATGAGGGTGTCCAAGGAGACCATAGTCTGCAAGGCAGAGTACCCCAGCGAAAGGCACAGGGCCTTTCATCTGTTCTTCGAGGCCTTCACGGGATTCGTGGTGCCCTTCCTGGTAGTGGTGGGCAGCTACTCTGACATCAGCCGTCGGCTGCAGGCGCGGCGCTTCCGCCGCAGCCGCCGCACCGGCCGCCTGGTGGTGCTCATCATCGTGGCCTTCGCGGCTTTCTGGCTGCCCTACCACGTGGTGAATCTGGTCGAGGGGAGCCGCGCGCTGGCCAGGACGCTAGCCCAGTCCCGCCAACAGCTGCAGAACGCCCGCTACGTGTGCATCGCTCTGGCCTTCCTGAGCAGCAGCGTGAACCCGCTATTGTACGCATGCGCCGGCGGCAGCCTGCTGCGCTCGGCAGGCTTGGGCTTCGTCGCCAAGATGCTGGAGGCCACTGGCTCAGAAACGTTCAGCACCCGCCGCGGGGGCACCCTAGGCAAGACTGTGAAGAGTGCCCCTGAGCCTCCGGAGACTGGCACCGCTGAAAGCCTCGACCCTCTCAAGCAAAGCGAATCGAGCTAGGCCTAGTGGAAGGATCCTCGCTTTCCTCCTGGAGGAATGCCCCATGCTTTTGGACCCAATTCTGTACTCGGAGAACAGGCGTGGGGGGTGGGG